TGGTGATACTGTTATTATTGTTACTGACGTTCTGGAGTTCACTATTGATACTATAGCCGTTGTTCTGATAATGTGACTGTCCTTCCACGTGTTCATCCCATGATGACGCGATGTGGTGTGTTTAAACCAAAGATTTACTCTTCTACTCTAGGAGTATTATGCCTGATTCCATTCATGAAGCTTTTCAGACAATGCATTAGAAACTAGTTGTTCAAGAAGAATATGATGCATTATTATGGAATAACACCTGGACTCTGGTTCATCTTCCTGAAGAACAGACACCAGTAGGGTGTAAATGACTTTTTAAAATAAAGCGCAAGCCGAATGGCACAGTGCAGCGTTATAAAGCACGGCTGGTTGCTAAAGGTTTTCTCAGATTCCTGGTTTTGATTTCAAAGATACATTCATCCCCGTTGTTCGATTTTCAACCTTCAATACAATTCTAGCTATTATTGTTTTCAATGGATGGGTACTCAGGCATGTTGATATCAACACTGCCTTTCTCAATAGGGACCTGTCTGAGGATGTTTACATATAGTAGCCCCTATGATTTGAACAATATGATGAACATGGTATGCCTCTTGTTTGTAAACTTCATAAGGCACTCTATGGGCTTTGCCAAGCTCCGTAGAATTGGCATAACAAGTTGAAAGAAAATCTTTTGCAATTAGGTTTTGTGGTCTCCCGTGCTGATTCTTCCTTGTTTCATAACCACTCTGCACATGGTTCCATTTACATACTGGTTTACGTTGATGATATAGTCATTAATGGTCAATCCTCTTATGCCATCGACAAAGTTGTTTGCATCCTGAATGATTTGTTTTCTCTTAAAGATCTATGTGATTTGGGTTATTTTATTGGCATCGAGGTTAAATTTTCCAATGGTGTTGTTGCTTTGAGTCAAAGGAAATTATACTTGATCTTTTAGAAAAGACGGGTATAAAGAATGCGTCTGGGTGTGCTAATCCGATGATTATGTTTTCCAAGCTCTCTCATGAGAAAGGTGTTCTTCTTCAAAATGCCACTGAATACCGAAGTATTGTTGGGTCTCTTCTCTATGTATGTCACACATGTCCTGATGTGGCTTACAGTTATGACTGCTCCTAGAGACTCACACTTTGTAGTAGTAAAAAGGATTCTTCGATACTTAGCCTTCACACTTGATTTTGGCCTTGTTTTTTTCGCTTATTGCTACAAGTCTAAATGTTGTTGCCTTTGCTGATGCTGACTGGGGGTTTAACATTGATGATCGACACTTAATTTTTGGTTATGGAGTATTATTATGGAATTGCCTTGTTGCCTGGTCCTAGAAAAAACAACGAACGGTTTCCAGGTCTATAATGGAAGCTGAATACAAGAGTTTGGCTGATGCAATTGCAGATATATCTTGGGTGACTGCACTATTGGATGATTAGGCGTTCAACAGTGTCAAAATCCTGTTGTCTGGTGTGACAACACCAGTACAGTGGCCATGAGTGTCAATCCTGTGTATCGTGCACAACCCAAGAATGTGGAGCTCGATATACACTTTGTTCGGGAAAAGGTGGACGTTGGACAACTCTGTGTTAACTATGTTCCTGCCATGCACCAGGTGGCTGATGGCTTTACCAAGCCTCTCTCAAAGGTTGCATTTGAAGACTTTCGCACCAAAATCTGTGTCCAGCAAATTTAACTGCAGAGAAGGGAAGAAGCAAGGAGAATATTAGAGTTATAATTGTTATAACCGATTGTTACACGTGGAGTTTGCGTACTGAAGACGTTTGGTTGTTAGCAGATTTTTATATAGTTGCTGATGAGTTGTTGTATAGCAGTTAGGATTGTTAGGCATTATGTTAGCATTCTGTTAGGGCTAATAGACTTCATGCTGTGTATAAAAAGAATACTTACTCTTGTAGCTGAACAGCAATAATGTTTCAATAATATACATTCATTTCCAGTAATCCAATACATGGGATACTAGAGCCGAGAAAATCCTAGTTGAAACAGACGTTGTCATAGCTACGAAGATAGTGCAAGATAAAAGAAAACACAGAAACATACCAATTGTTCAACACATTGACTCTTATCTGGAACGTGAATGGACAGTGGATATCAAGAATATTAAACGCATCAGCAACATGGTGGTAGATGGAATTGCGAAATACGTCTGAAATTTACCCCAAGGTCTGCATGTATTACTGGAACCCCCTTAAGAAATTAAGCACATGATTTGTAATGAGGAGATAGCATAGACAGGTTAACTCTCCACCTTTTATAAACAAAATAAATAAATAAATAATACGGATTTATTAAAAGTTAAAATGACTTGAATTAAAATAAATTTAACAAATTTGTTTTGATATTGATTTTAAAACTAAAATGGACTAAATATAGATAGATCAAAACTTGTACGCTCTCAATAACTATTATACCATGAATTTAGAAGTTAGTTTCTCTCTTTTAACTTCCACGTTAGTGTTCTATTATTTTTGCTTCTTCTAAAACAATGAAAAATAGATTTAATTAGTTATTTTTTACTATGCTAATTTCCTGAATCATAACCTCATTATTCTAACATTTTCTTGATTTCCAATTCCCTATAAGAAATCTCCGTTTTCTCTATCTTTTCTGAAGTATTTCTTTCTTCATAATAATTTGATTTAACTTTACAGTGTAGTATTTAAAATTTGAGTCAATATGATAAAAATAATATTTAAATAATCGATTCAAATTCTCTCATTTTTTTATTAATCTGGGTAAATATAATGCAATATATGTTGAAAGATAATTCTTAATCATTTGATATTTAACGCTTACACCCCTAGTATTCATGGTGATTGAACACATGTCCTAAAAGAATAACAACAATTCCTTTACCACTTGGGTCATTTGATTCATACTTCTCTAATTTTTTTTGAATAAAAATATTGAATTAAAATGACTTTTTTTTTATTAATCTAAGTTATTTGTTCAAAGATAACTCTTAACCTATTGACATTTAACGCTCACACTCCTGACATTTATTGGTGCTCGAACCCGGGTCCTAAAAAAATAATAACAATTCATTTACCACAAAAATCACTTAGTTCATACAATGATTTTTTAAATATACAAAAAATAAATAAAATTAATTAAGGATAAAATATTGAAACAATCACTTACCTTTTATATTTATACACTTTTGCTCATCAAATTTAAAAATATTTAAGTTTTAGTCGCTTAAGTTATTGTTTCATTAAGTTTTGGTTGTCGAGACGTTGAGTGCCATTAATATAATGTGGCATTTAATAAAATCGTTTAATTTTTATTTTAAACCCTAAACTTTAGATAAAATATTAATGGTGGGGCTTTTGTAGATTCAAAGTACTATAGGACAAAATTACAATTCCCCCTTCCTTTTAATATGTTTTTCTTTCAAAACCCACTCGCGGCGCACACCACACACCATGTTCATCTTCTCCGATCACCCAAATCTATTAGGTAGAAACAAATTTTCTTTTCTTCATTCTATAATTGTAAACAATGACGTAACTACAACAATTATGGAACGATACATCATAAGTTACGAAATATAGCTTGCTGAATTCTAGTTTGATCAACATTCTTCCATGTTATCAAAGGCTCCAAAGATATAAAGTCCCTCGTCCAACCCTGCCAAATGTCTACGAGTCTTGGAATGATCAAAATTTATGGTTTTTAAATTTGGTGGCAAATGTGTACATTATTAAAAATAAGTGACCATTTCGATAGTTTACCCATAAATTTAATATAAAATAAAAAAATTAAGAGATAAATTAATTATTATATCATTTGTGTTAGGTTTTTTTATCATAAGATTATGAATGCATTAATTTTAAGTGAGGTGAATAATTTATCCTAAAAATTTACACAATTAGACGATTAAAAAAAATCTAAAATAACATTACAAGACCTGCGGTCCGTGCAAAAATAAGTAGTAGCACATAAATTTTTCGTACAGCTAGTGGTAAGTTTAAAAAAAACTCTGGGTATCATTCAAAATATATTACTATATTGCATCATTTGCATGCAATTGAGAGCCGCGCGAATCGCTTCTGCCTCTGCGCAGACAAACGAAAATAACAACCTCTCCATTAACAAAAGCTCTGTTTCTTCATTTCTCCTCTCTCTTTTTAATTATCCTCTTCTATTACTTTTTTTTAAAGACACCGAAGAACGCTATGTTCTACTCCAGAGAGCTCCTTGCTCGCAAAGCTTCCCTGGGCCAAATATGGTGATCTTTTCATCTTTTTTTTTTTGTGAAATAAAGTATTTCGCTGAAAAAATGAACAATAAGCTCTCTCTCTCTCTCTCTCTCTCTGTTTGGATTTCTCGTATATGTGATCTGGAGTAATCTGTATTTGGGGTTTTGTTTTCTTTAGGTTACTTGGTACTAGGCAAGCAAAGCTCGATCGAAGGAAAGCTAACAAGCTCGACATTGCTCGACTCTGGTTTCTATTTTCCTTTTCGGTCACTTCAATTTCTTTCCGTTAACTTATTTTTCTTTTTAATTTATATTTGAAGTAATTTTAACAGTGAAGAGATCCTAAATCCTCCAGTTCCCATGGCTCTTCGACTCTCTAGCATCCTCATGGGTAAATCAACTTAATACAAGATTTGTTTTCTCAATTTTCCATCATTATCCTATCCTTTCTAGATCAAGTTTTTGCTATTATTTTCTAATTTTCTCGTTATGCTCTTTAGGTGGGATTGTGATTCTTTATGAGAAAAAAGTGATGTTTCTTCATGGTAAATTAATTTTCGACCCTTTATTTTTTGTAAGTTTAGTATTTATTGTTCTACTTTCTGCCGGGATTTTAATGCTTCTCTGTCTTCTCTTGACAGATGATGCTAATCGGTTTCTGGTAATTTCCTTTCCTTTCTGTTTTAATTTTATTCTTAAATGAGCGTATTCGATTCTGTTGATTCAACTGTATAGATATTTCAAAAAGGGAACAAGAAAAACGGTTTGATTTTTCTTGTGGGGGTGTTTTGAGGTTGAAATAAGGAACGCATGGAAGGTAATGGAAGAGCGAACTCTACTCCCGAAGGGAAAATCAAAAGCCAAGTAAAATCTGTTTTATATATGTGCCATTCCTTCTATAAAAAATAAATAAATATTGAATAGATGGGATTTTTGGGTTATTCTGTCTACTTGTCTCCCTTGAGTGCAGGAGAAAATCCATTACGCTACCTGAAAATGAAGAAACCTCCATGGGGTTCACTAATGCTGTAGAACCTGAAGAAGAAATCTCTATGGGGTTTAAGCAAAACAATCTTAATATGGTAAAGTTTTTTTTATATAAACTCTCCACCTTCCTCCTTATTCTTCATGGTAAGAGCATTTTATTTGACATTTTGATGGCAGTGATCAAAACGAATTTGCCATAAATGTGTGCTTTCAGCCTTGTGGTTTGCCCAGTTTATTATATGGTGGTTAACTATTATTTCTCCTCCCTTATATTTAAAATGAATTCACTGCTGTTTTCTTTTGAAATGAAGTTGCAAATTGGCTGTTAGGATCTTCAAATCGAAGATACAGTTCAGTATTCTTTTTCATTAATTTTATTCCATATCATCCACCTAAACAAATTCACTTGTTAATTGCAAAGCAATACTTATAAACTGTGGTATTAGTTATATATTATAAAATAATGAATTCGAACACAATAAAGAGGAGCCTACCCCTTGAAAGCATGGCTAAATAAGCTTGCCATAATTCATGGGGGCTTTAACAGGACTCTGTTTCCAAGATTTTACTGGGCCTGATAACTCGTTTTCCGGTTGGGTTGGCTTGGCTTTGGTGAAGCTTAAAACAAGAGTGGAGTGCAGACTTTTCCAATCCAGACGGAGCTTACAATTTTGTCCTATAGATTCGCAATGCAATACTGATAATAAGTGTGGACATTTTCCCGTTTTCTGAAGCTCATTTCTCACATTTTGTTCTTCATGTTGATTTCTTCCTTTTTGGGCACAGTGATGAGCCATGCATCAATTGTTTTTCCAATTTTGCAGTATATGTATATCATTTTATTAAATTGGTCCGGTAATCTATCCTCTCTTTTTTATCATTTGGTAAAAATACCATTCTGATGACTACCAGCCATGTCAGGCGTTCAAATCTTTAATTAGATTGCAAATGAATAGAACTTTTCTATACAAAGTAGTTGTATTAAAATTCCTTTGAAATTCTATTTTGGACTCTAATCTTTTGTCACCTTTACTGATATACAGCAACTTAACCAAGTCGATGAATACGACATTACCAGCGATCCCATTGAGGATAATATTTCCAATGACCACCATCAAGGTTTTCTTTCATACCTGAACTTTTACAGTATTTGGTAGTTTTGAACATGTACATCAATCTCATAATGTTTATCATAACAAAATGCTGTACACCAATCTGACTTTCTTCTTTACAGCTAATGACAATGACATCACCTTACCTGATTTATTTCAGCCTAGAACCAGTACTCATGAACTTTTTGAAAGGTAAATTTAAAAGCTTGGTTCCATGCATTGCTGGTAAAGGTTTTAGTTAATAATTCATTAGAGCGTTTGTGGACTGAATAATTGCTTAATATGTCTAACAACTGTGACAGATTTGAAGGTGACGAGGGAACAAAAGTAAACTTCACTTTAGATGAGCATATTGAGATGCCACCTACTCCTATTCTTTCCCCAGCCCAGCAAGTTGAGCCTCAAGGAGGTTAGAGTCTTACAATAGTTTTACATATTCAAGACTACTGCAACTCACGTTTTGTAAGCGTTTAGTTTTTTATATTTGTAAGGAAATAATTTGAGAAATATGGAAAAGATAATGAAGCTTCAGTTAAAGTTTTAAATCAATTCAAGCAGAACTGAACAATCTTTCCAAGTGAACATTTCCATTTAATTTGGCACATTAAAGTTTTCTGAGCATTTGTTGTCAATTAGACAAGAATACTGGAACTCAAGTTTTGTATGCTTTTATGCTTTATATTCTGAAGGCAACAAACATTTGAAATATGAAAAAGATAGTGAAGCTTTCGGTTAAAGTTTTCTGAGCATTTGTTGTCATAGGTAACTGTTGTTAAACATGAATTGGGAGTTAAAATGAAGTCTCCATAATATAAGCCTACAATTTGGCTTTTGTCTTATTAACCCATAGGAAAGTGGAAAAAGAAAATAGAAAGAAACAATGAACGAGAATGAGCTTGATATTCATGCTATTTTACTGCAGCCGGAGGAAGCCAAGAGCAGTTTCGAGAGAACGAGTTAGGTCAACAACTTAAAAGAAACAAAGAAGCCAGAGTATGCATTAATGATTTTTTTCTAACAGTTATTTGAAAAATCAGATTAAAATACAAACTTTTCTGATCTTAATCTCCTTGAGAAAGTAGGATCAACAGAGGCAGGAGCCAGGAAAACGAAAAACAAGAAAGCCTAAAGGAATTATTACGGATGAGGAGCAAACTGTTATTTCTAATTATGTTTACCATTCCTGGCTTGAGGAAACTTCAGATATTGCATCAAGAACTCGAAGGAAGAAAAGGGTATGCCTTGAATATTTGCAATTTATCTAGTTCATATTGAGCATGATAATGGTGTATGATTATCTTGCACACCGATTTACTTGTTAGCCACTAAACTTACGCAGTAGGTGAATATTTGGTACGCATTATTCTAAAGAAAACATCAGAAGATTTCATGGAGGAAACAAATTCTATCCAAACAAAACAATCATTTCAATCATAAATGATCAAACATAAGGTTTATTTGCTATAAATTTTGCAGGGGGGCGCAAAAGTTCTGTCTTCTTTGAAGATAGCAAAGCTCATGGAACTCCCATCTATGGTGCTAATGGATGATATGTTTGTGAAAGGAAACCAAGAAATCCCGTACCCAGAACCACTTTTGGACCTGTGGAAGAAAAGCATTCAACCTCACCATGACTCACCTTCTGGTTAGAATTTCACTTATTCTTGCTTTTTTAAGTTTTTGAGGAAATAATGCAGGGAAGTTAATTCATCTTATATGTGCGCAGTGAGAACCTTACGACAGCAACCACAACGTCATGAACCATCTTCTACGGAGAGAGTACATTCTGATCATCAAATGGATTATGTAAGTCTTGCGACTCTTCCTTAGTTTGCCACCTTGAAATGCATATGTTTACCCTATGTCTGACTGATTTTGGAACGCAAAGCCTTTTGAAGATCTTCGCAGTGGAGTAGGTTCCCCATCTGATGTAGCTGCAGTAGAATTACAGATGAGTAAGAAAACTAAAAGGACACCAGTGGAATTTAATCACTTTGTTCCGTCAGGAAATTCTGGTATGAAAAATCTCTCGTTTACATGTTTTATCTCTTCTGTTTGGAGACTTAATGTGGTATCAATTAAGCTTGGTATACATTTTGCAGGAGATGCAGTAAGATCCCATGGTAGCTCAGTATCCGGAGATGGAATCCCCTCGGGAAACTTAGAAGTAAATACAGAAAGGTAAGTAAAGATTCATCTGCCATAATAAATCAGAAGGCAGAATAAACTTGTATCCATGAAATCAGCAATATGCCTAAGACCTTGTTACAGGGTTGCGTCCAAGAAGAAGAACGTGCGATCAACATCGCGAAACAATAGTGGTCTTGACACAGTGCATGAGGAAGCATTCCGTGAAGCTGATACCGATTACAAGTTAACAAGGCCAGGAAGGAAAAACTTGGCATCTGATCCAGGTAATTAAGTGGTCAGCTTCTATTTTGGCCATAATAGTCACTGTAATTGGTGCATCATCCAATATGGTGATTAACAAATAACAACCCCATTACTTTTTTTTTTGTTTTTCTCAGATTTCAAGGTGGTAACTCAACTTACAAGGGAAACTCCTGCGAATGATCCTCCTCCGGACATAATGACTGAGAACATCAAGATGTATGTTGTGTATATGTTGATCGTTTATATAAATTTGAAGTCCAAAATTAACTTTGAGGGGTCGTAAATTGGATGCAGGCATATGAAAATACATTTTGAAGCGCCAGGAGCTCCGAAAGTAGAATCCCTACAGAACTTGGCAGCAGGGTTGAGCAGAAAAGGAGCAGCTCAGCTCTTCTATCAGACATGTGGTATGCAAATGCAAATACAAATCCCTGTATCTCGAATTGCCTTATTTGTATGAAGTAATGATGAAATTTGTTTGCAGTTCTTGCTTCTCAAGGTTTCTTGAAGGTGAAACAAGGGGTGCCTTTTGGAGACATTTCCATCTCGAAAGGACCAAAGATGTGAGGCAGGTAGTTTTAAGGATGGATTATTAGTTATCTTCTGCTTTTAATTTTAATTTTGTACAAGCTCCTTCTTTATGCTACAACTTGCAGATTTTACTCCTGACTCTGTTGTTTGGATTATTAGCTTCTATAATCCCTTACTAGACGTTGAATCTATATATGTTTTTATCCTCTCTTTCCCTTCTGTTTGCCATAATTTATATTCGATTGGTGAAGTAAATTATAATAATTATGTGATTTTAAAAATCAATGTCAAGGCTGCAGTAGAAGAAAAAGGAGGCTTAGAGGAATGATAAACTTTAAAAAAAAAACCAAAAAAAATCGATAAGTCAGTTGTAGGAAGTAAATTCAGTAATAAGTTTTTAAGGTAGTCTTATAAGAAAAAGCGTTTTGTGTTTGGACTAGAATTCTGAAAATGGGCTCTGTCTAAGCCTAAATTGCCTCTCTATTCTTTCACGCCAAACCAAATAAATGTTAATTTCAGTAACAAAACAATTAGGGATGTAAAAAACTAACCCGACCTGCAAAAATGACTGAAATCGACTTGAGTCAAATTTTTTATGACCCGAGGTGGTGGTAATCTAAAACTGATTCGAGTTTGAACTGGTATTGACCTGAACCCGAGTTGGACCCGAACTGAGAACGACCTGAACCTGATAATGTGATAACTTAATCCGACTTGCACCCGACCTGATATGAGCCTAAACCCGAGATTAACCCTGTAAATAACTAATATTACCCGACCTGTTATCAACTTGACCTGTAATAGACATGATCTGTAATTGACTCAACCTGTAAATGATCCGACCTATTATTAAATTGAACTGATATTTACTTAACTTATAAGTTACAAATGATGAAGTTGTGAGATTTTAAATTTATAATAAATTATGATAATTAATATGATTACTTTTTCAAAGTTAAAACAAATTGTTAGTCATGATAATTTTTTGACAATTAAATAAATTATGATAATTAATATGATTACTCTTTAAAAGTTAATATAAATGAGTAGTTATGATAATTAAATTAATAAATTTATTTTCTACATTAATTATAATCAGTAAATTAATTTCATTAAAAAAATTATTTATTGAACAATATTTTATTAGAAAATATAAAATTAATTTATACATTTGTAAGTTGAATTTATTTATATGTAATAATTAATTAATAATTTAACTTAAAATTTTAAAATATGTATAAAAGATTAGTTTACTTGAGATTGAAAATTTTAAATTTTAAAATTTTAATCATCAATTTAAAATAATATATATATATATATATTGTTAATTTTAAAATATATATTGCTTATTTTAAATTGATGAGTTGTGGGAGAACTTTTTAAAGAAAGATTGTTTTTGAGGGAAATTTTGATTATTTGGAAATTTAGAAGAGGGAATTGCCAAATTTTGACAAATTGATTTTTTTTGCCAAAATTTAGGAGAGGAAAAAATTATTTTTTGAGAATTTAGAAGAGGAAAGAGGGAAATTTTGATTTTTTATTTTGAATTTAGAAAAGGGAAGAGGGAAATTTTATTTTTTAACAAATGTTAGTGACTTTTTTAATTTCCAATAGATTTTTTGGGTTGATTAGAAATGCGGTCATCTAACAATTAGTGGTTTTTTATTTTATAATTTGGTTTTTAATTTCTTTCATTTTAGTCATGGTCTAGTTATAAATATTTTCTTGAATTTTCAATTCAATGCAATTTAGTACTGTATACATTCTAATTACTTTTAATTTTCTCTTCTTTCTTTAATGTGCACAATTATTAAATGTGAATATTAATTTTAGAATCTTTTATTTTAGTCACTTATGTTTAATGATATATATATATATACATCATACATATATACATATATATACTTATATATTATACTTTATACTTATATATATTATATACATACTGATATGATTTCGATTATGAGTTTCGAGTCATATATATGATTGTCCGATCGTGATTCTAGTAAGAGATTGAATTGTTTGCTTTGAACAAAAGATTATGGAAGTTGTAGTTTGGATGGAATGAAAGTATGGCGAAGGTATGGATGGTAATGGCGTGGAATGTGTAAGATGGATTGAAAAGAAAACGAATTGTGACCATCTAACTATATGTAGTTAGGAACCATCAATATAAAGAGATAGAATCGAAGTGAAGCAGATAGAACGTGACCCACTAGCTATAGATGAGCTAGGAACCAACGCTATAATAAAAGGAAATGGATGAAGACTACAAGACTATCTTGAAGCCGATAAAGTTCTACAAGAGAACAAGAATGAACGCAACCTCTCAAAGATGTTTTATATATTCAAATGTGTGTCTACAAATGATCCCAAAGGTGCATATTTATAGTATTTCTAAGAAGCTTATGAAAATACTAAAACGATGAAAACATTCTCATCAATTTAGCAATAAAATGCACTTGAATGCTTTGTCTTCTTATCTTCAAGTTTGGTTGAATATTCTAGATCATTTTGGGGATGAATCTAGACAATTTGAAGTTTAATTTGGCCTTAATTTCGTCCAAGGGTGTAAGACTCTTGCTATTTCATGTTGAAAGTTGTATTAATAAGTGAATTAAATCACCCTTCATTGCATGCTCCCTTGAAGAATATGAACAACCCTTGACTTTAGATGATAACAATCAGCTTTGAATGCCTTGAATGTGTGAATTAAGATTCCTTCAATGGCTTGTCACTTGACTGAAGTTGAAAAGACTCTCCCTTGTCTCAAACTCATCCAAATCATCCATGCATAAAATTCCCGTAACAAAATTCCAGCCTCCACTGTCTTCAATAAATTGATCATATCCCAAGCTCCCGATATCGGATTAAGGTGATTCAAAAGGCGTTGGAAAGATAAGAGATAGAGGAATAATTCCCAATTGATTTATGGAACCAAAAACGTCTGTATAGTATCCATTATTGGAAGGCATTCTGACTGACATTCTTGCATCTGATGAAACCATTCAACTTCTCTCATGTACCTAGACACAGAGGTGAACTTTATTCAATCTTTAATTGAAAACATGCATGAAACAATTAAGAGTTAGTTTAATAAATGAACCAACTTTATTAAATAAACTAGATGCATGAATGAAGTAGCTTACTAAAGGATCTAAAGGCATAAATGAACTACTTCCCTAAATGAACTAGATGATTTCAATGCAATTCATGCTTAAATGAACAACACACTTATTAAATGAAATGAATGTTACACAAACTTCAAATTCTCATGAAAATTCATGCATAAGCAACGTAAAGTGTTCCTCCTTTGTTATTCCTCCTTCATCATGTCTCAAGCTTGATGTAAACATACTCTCCATGGCTGCTTGAAACTCCTTAGCCCTTGCTCGTGTGATGTGTAACACCCATAACCCGTATAATTATACCTATACAGATTATAGATGTCACCCGTATTTACTAAAACCATTTCAAAATTTATTAGCGATTTAAAATTTATTTCCTTGAAATGGTAAATGATATTATAGAAGTTTCATATCATATAAATCATGTTTTGTTGTAACCAATTTAATTCAAAATATTTTTATTTATGAATAGTGAATAGTACCCGAACAGTGAACAGTGGGGGAATCGATTCCCTGTAGCAGGGGAATCGGTACCCCTTTAACAATCTGGAAATTTTGTTTAAAACGTGGTTACTGTTCATGCTACAGTAACTGCTACAGTAATTTCCGAAAATTACATATTAACTTATAAAAACTTAACATTTTCTCACTATAAAAATTCTATTTTTGTTTCCAACTATATTCAACAAAATAAATTGAATATTATTAATTACATGCCACTATCTATTTCAAAATTTCACAATAGGATGTCTTACTGATATTGAAATATACTCCCCGATGCTCGATGTCACTTTGAACTCTTTATTCCATTACAGGCTTTTTACCTACGCGTGAAGATCATCACACGCTAAGTATAAACTTAGTGAGGTAATTAAAACATTTAACAGTGCAATACAATTCTTGCATGATTTTCAATATCAAAAATCAAATTTCCACAAAATCATTTTACTAACATATCCAATATTTTACCATGATCAAAATAATATAAAATCTCTTACCATTTATCCCATAAGCTCGTAAGCTTATTTTACCAAAATACTTACCATTTAAATTCCATAAGCTCGCAAGCTTATTTTTCCTATATACTTGTCATTATTCCGTAAGCTCATAAGCTTATTTGCATGGTTACCATTTATTAACCAATAAAACATAATCCATAGCCAATAGCCCAATATTAAACCTTGAGGACCTTGGGTATTCGAGTAATATTTGCACCGTAGTGCTACACATAAGGTCGTGCCCACCATAAACACCGAAGTGTATTACACATAAGGTTGTGCCCACCATATACACCGAAGTGTATTATAAAACTGCAGTTGCTATACTCTATGGCAAATAGTCTATTTTATTCGATCCATCCATGGCAAAGTATATTATCAAATTTAACATTGGGCAGTTCATACCCGAAAACATTCATGGTAAAATATCACATTTTTTTTCATGATCAATACATTTTAATTTCACACTCTGACATCTCAATGTCAATTTATAAAAAATGATATAAAATCATGCCGATATAAACAAGGTCGACTTATCGCAAGTCTTCCTTATGATGTATAAAACATCCATGTATAATTTCATGCATGTATTGCACTCACCTTGATACTTTATATCTTTCAAAATATTTGTGCCTCAGTATTGTCCACAATATACCCTTTTTATACTTGACTTGCTTCAATTGCAAATCAACCATGATCTGTATAAATCACAAATTTATAATAATACATATGTTAGTATTTTACTAACATAAATACATTCCACCATATCTTCATACTATATTTGAAATTCATCATCTATCAAAATATTCAACTCTTAATAATTCCTTATAACATTGGAACCAACTTTTCCAATTTACCCAAAATGGTCTTCACCATTTTACCACTTAAATTCTTAATACCAATAATTCCAACATTGAAA